CACCAAACAAAGAAAAGTAGGGAACAAAAAACTTCCCTGAGAGCAAACGGAACTCCGACGACAGCAGCCCCCCGAGGGGCGGGGAGAACCCGCCGCCAGAAATCCCACGCGAAAAGCCGCAAGGAAAAACCCTAGCGCGAGATCTTGATCAAAATTTTCATCAGAATGTTTTACCAACAAAATGGCTAGTGCAAGAAATTATAGTTGTGGTGTTGGTGCCTATGTTCTACTGTATCTCTGAATCGATATGCAGCACTATGATGCTAGACCACAAATAACTTTTTATATATATATTAAATTATAAAATATCAAAGCACTGAAGCAATTTCGCCCCTCGTTATCGTGACTTGCTTGGAAAGGAAGAGGGGAGAAGGAGAGGAAGGCATAGGGAGAAGAGAGAAGGTTGTTTAGGGCTTTTTTCATTATTTGATTTTATTCAAAGATTTCTCTTAATCATTGTAATAATTCAAATCCTATTTTAATTTTCAATGATTTTGCGTTTAACATATTTCTTCACTTCTAAATTGATAAAAACTTATTTGCTCATGATTCATAGAGTTTTTAACCGCGTAATGTTTTTGCATATGATAGATATGAATTGCGCGTATATTTTAACTATAATATTATTGAATTTCACCGGGTAAATTAGGGGTTATGATTTTCTAAAGTTATATATTAATATATGATTTAATTGCATTTTTATAGATATTGCATTTCATATAAATTAATGTGGCAATTACAATAAAAGTAAGAAAGGTTAGTTGTCAATAATATAATTAATACTGGTTGACTCTTGAAATATTAATACTATGTCATTATATAGATTTTAATGATTTCAAATCAAGGAAGAAGTCAGGATCAGGTGGTGTGAGTGACAAAGATCCATAAGTTTCTTTTGATTTTGTTTGTACTTTCTTTTGTTCTTTTGTAGCCAAGAGTTTGAGATAGAGTATTTATTGTACTGATTTCCAGGCTATTGTATATTGATTTTGGGATAATGAATGTAGTGGAATATTTTGATGTATAGATTTATTAGATGCATTCGTTGGATATGTTACATTATATTAAAGATTTATGAAAGCTTTGTTATATTATTAAAATGATAAATAGACAATTCTTCCAAATTTAATCTTAGTGTGTGACAATATAGGTTTATAACCGTTGATATCTAAGGGCCTATTTGGGACAGTTTTCTCATTGTTTTGTTTTTCAAATAACAACCACAATAGCAACCATAGCAGTCATATTATTTTCCCTTCAGCAATTTTGCAATCAACTTTATAAGACGTTGCAGCCATCCCAAATAGACCTTAAAGCTCAAAAACTTATAACCTAATAAATAAGAAACCAACAATCTCTTGTGATTCCACTATCCTTTATGCTGATATATTTTCACGCCTGAGCTTTAGTCAACTCGGCTCGAATCAACCCAGTTAGAGCCATTCAAAATTGAATCAAATCAGTGCAAAATCATTTATTTTTTTCTTTTTATTTCTCAAAATATCCCATATATATTTATAATAGTCATATATAAGAATAAATATGTATAATTTATACTTCAAACTAGTTTCATAAAGTATTAAATTATTAATGGCACTCTCGGTCTTCTCCACCTATCCTTCACCTCCCTCACGTTCATCTTATTTCCTTACCTTTTCTTTTTTTCCACCTCTTTTCCACTTCCTCTTTCTTCCCCTTTATCCTCTCCTCCCACTCCATTTTAAGCCCTCTCCCCTTCACCTCACCTCCTCAACCTCTCTCTCTCTCTCTCTCTCTCTCTCTCTCTCTCTCTATAGCTCTCTCTCTCTCTATAGCTCTCTCCCTCTCTCTCTCTACTCTCTAGCTCTCTTTCTCTCTCTATCTCCTTTCTCTCTCCTATTTCTAGGTGTGTTTATCAGTTTCTCATAGTTTTTTTTTTTCTGCTAAAATATATGAAAAAAAAAGGTCTTATTTGGTTGTTTGAAGATAGAAACTATAATTTTTATGAAAGTTGAGATTTTGTTCTCAGTATGAAATAAAATCACCATTTTTAAGAGATTTTGTGAATGCTTATAGAGATTAAGATTCGTAAAGATTTCTAATTGCAATGAAATGAAGCTTCTAAAACTTTTTAATTTTGAATTTGTATTCATTTCTTCATTTGAATATTTCCAAAATCTCTGTTCTAATTTCTTCAGCTACAAAGATGCGGTGTGAAGACCCCTTTGATTCCATTGATGACTTGCTTGACTTCCAAAACTACGATGATTTGCTTGAAATGGTGGATGGTTGTGGCAATGGAGGTTCGGTGGCTCCCCTGCAAGCTCCGGCGATCACCGGAGGGATTCATGGCCGTCCGGCTGCCATCACCGACGAGCAGATTAGCTCAGAAGATGATGCGCTAAGCATGGTAAATACTTAAGCTGATTATTTGAAATTCTGCGTAAGTTCTTCAAATTCATGTCTGATATTTAAATTTTTAATTAAAAAAAAGGATTAATAAATAACAACAAAATTAAAGATTTTAATCACCACTGATTTTTCTAAATAGCGTAATTTTTAGCTTTAATTAGCTGCTTAAAATTAAATTTTTTGGATGAAATGCAAATTTTTATTACATTTCTAAATTTTTTTTTAATTTTATAACTACTGAAAGTTTCATGCTAACAGATGATTTATTCAATTTTTTGACCGTTGCAGTGCAATGATGCTGAAATTATAAATTCAGATTGGCTCTCCAACTTTTTAGAAGACTCTGAACTCAACTTCTTCAATGCTATAGAATTTGGATTACAAAGTCCAATCTCTGTTCTTGAGACCAATATAGCCTCCACTTCCTCTACTCCGAATCCGCACATGACCCGGACCCGAACCAAGCGACCACGGGCGCAAGTCACCCATCCCATATCACCCTCGTTGACCCGTTGGGCACCTGAGCCCGAAACCATGGGAAAGAGAAGGAAGAGCAATGTGGTTGATTTTAACATGGCGAGAAAGTGTATGCATTGTGAGAGTCGAAAAACTCCACAATGGCGGGCTGGGCCAATGGGACCAAAGACGTTATGCAATGCTTGCGGTGTTCGATACAAGTCTGGTCGACTTTTCCCCGAATACCGACCCGCAGAGAGCCCAAGTTTTGTCCCTTCTATTCATTCTAATTCTCATAAGAAGGTGGTGGAGATGAGACGACTAAGGGCTAATTTGAGTTCATCGGAAGATAACGTCCGGGCAAAGAATTGTGACTTGCTCAACTACATTAGAAATAAGTAAATGCAGCTACTTTGAGTTCAATGCCTTTTTTATTACGATAGATCTCAAAACTTTTAGATTTACTTTGAGATGAATTTCGTATAAATTGCTATTAATTTTTTATGTATTACATTCATCTCAAAATATATCTAATAAGTTCAAGATCAATCGTGATCAAAATATTTTGATCTTTTTTTTTTCAAATATATTATAGCAATAAGGGTGAGTAAGGGAGAGAAATGAACAAATATAAGCTATAGTTTAGGTAGTTTATTGAGAGGAGGAGAATGTATTAGTTAATGTAATAGAAAGCTTCATTATATATTTCTCTTTTTTTTTCAAGTTGATTGATTATAAATTTTGCTATAGCTAAATTGTAAGAAATTGTAATATTAATATTTTAGATGCAATTATAAAGATGGCACTCCCTTCTTACTAAAAAAAATGGGGTAATTATATAAATAACACCTAAATTTTCACTATTTACAAAATTGCCTTCCTCCAACCTCAATTTTTTAAAAATTAAAACTTAAATATCAAAATTCAAAATGAATTTCAACTGTTTGATTATTAAATATACGTATTTGTTAGTTCAAAAAAAAAACATTGATGATAATTTGGTAAATAAATAATATTTAAGTATTATTTATGTAATTATCCTAAAAAATATAAAGCAATCAATGATAAATAAAAATATAATTAATCTTTTAAAATATGTTTGATGAAATAACCACCACCACCAAATATTGGATATCAAAAATTGATATTAGCATATCATATTTCATTTATAAGATAAAAATTAGGCTCCATAATATAATATTAATATCTAAAATTTCAAATGCAAAGCAAAAATATAGCTAATATTATGACATGTTCTCTTCGGGCAAGTTCATATTATTAAGAAAGATAAAGGTGCACCTAAAAATATTTGATTAGAAAATATTAAAAAAGACATTTTAATTAGATTTAAATGAGAATTTAGCTCTTAATATGACACAATAAAGAAAAATAATTCATTTAACCAAACCCACATGGTAGGATAAAAATTTGATATTATTGTTGTTGGTACATTATAGGCAATGATGCAATGACACTTCTATTCAAAGAAAGGTGCAGTGTCTGACACATATCCGATGCGACAAGCGTCCGACACTCCTCCGACATGTGCCATATGTGCCGAAAACATGTACGATTAAAAAATTGGGCATCCGTGTCCAACACGCTCACTTAAATATTTTATAATATTTTTAAATACAATTTCTTGTATTTAAAAATTTTATTTATTTAAAATATAAAAACTAAATTTCATATGCACAACATCAAATCAATCGTCCGCACTCAATACCTCATTCATTGAATATTCTCATTTTCATTTCTCTTTTACGGGTCGTGACTTTGATTTCACAACAATATTCGATGTCATCTCAACATCAACGTCTGACATCGTTACATATTGACATTTTAAAATCATCTCAAAATCAAAATTTGACACTGTCTTGACATTGATGTTCGACATACCTATTTCTACACACAGAACTTGACAGTTCATCTTTATCCAACATCTTCTTAACATTGACGACCATCGCCCTCTCAATATCAATGATAGACACCATCTTGAAATTGACGTTTGATACTTACTACATAACATTAATGTCTAACTCTCGATAATATTATCGTCTCCTCTCTCCATACCTAATACACAGCATCAGTGCTCGACTCTCAACATCCTAATATTAATCATTTTAAACACTTATTAAATGACATATTATTTCTAAATCATTTTTAATATTATACTATTCAATTTTTATACAGTAAATTCTAAAATATAAAAATTATAATATCGTATACAACCTGTGTCCGTGTCCTATATTTTCAATAATTGACGCATCTTGTGTCCGTATCTGTATGTCATAGATTATAGAATTAAGCATACAAGAAACAACAAGAAGATGCAAGAACAACATAAAGGGTAAACGAGATACTAGAGTTAAATATGAGTAATGCACTCTCCTTAACTCCTAAGCGACCAAGAGAGGCTAAATAAATTTATAATTACCTCAATCACTCCATAAGAAGCGCCATCACTAAAGCACTATCAAGGCAAGCACCATGCCATAAGTGCTAAACTTTAAAGCTTTAATCTTTAGGTTATGCATTTTATACAAATTTAAGTACTTACATTGTTAATAACACAATTTAATGCAAGGATTAGCATTTTATACTCTACAATAGTCTTTTGTGTGATGAAAATAGTTTTACTAATTGCACATCTATTTCATTACATTTCTTTTCTTAGCTAAGGTTAGCACTTAGGGCGGTGCCAAACCCCTCAAGAGTTGGGTCGACGACATATCGCATTGAGGGCGCCGAGAAGTGTATTAGTAAAAAGAAAGAGCACATATGATCAACATAGAGTAAGACCCTAAAAACAAGAAACGATAAACGCGAGCATTTCATATTCTCTACACGTTATCTCTTTCTTAACCCGATGAGCCAAGATCTACAGAAAATAAAGCGCAAGCAAGGCGAGACGAAGGAAGATTCAGCTTCCAAACACTCCCTGATCAAGGGAGGTAAAACCAATTGAAACCCTAGATCTTGATCTCACTCCATGATATTCAACCTAGCTTGGCTATCTTGTAACAAAATCATAATCTAGGCTTAGAGAAGGGTTATGTGCTCTATGATCTTAATCAAGAAAAAGACCACTTGGCCATTCATCCAGATCCTGAATCACAAGAAGAGAAGACTGGAACTGCTCAAACTTCTTCTGACATAAAATGTTATAGCCTCAACATAATAGATAATACAAGTGATTCCTACATAGTTACTCAGATCTTACAAATTCACTCGGCAGTTTTGACTCGGGGTCAGCGAGAAGAGGAGAATTGGAGCTACAGTGGCAATAACGATAGTGATACTTCCAGATTTTTGTAATGGGATTTTAAGCAAACTGTGCAGCTGCTTTAACAGAGGTTTTGGGAGGTCTGGAATTGGATTAAGGTTTCGTTTGGAACGGTTTTTTTACTGCTTTATAAAGCAGCTTTGTAGTAAAAAATTAAAAAAATTTAACTAAAAACTAGCTTTAAGAAACGGTAAGAAAGCCGTTCCAAACAAAACCTAAACGAGTAGATGTGGGGATTATTTGCAAGTGAAGTTGTCAACAGTACGATATGAAAATTTTGATAATAATGGTAAGAGAGACCGATCAACAAATTATTCGGCTTCTTCATCAATATGGAGGTAGTTTTGACCAATTACACTTGTATGATAATGTGCAGTGTAATAAACAAAAGGATACTACAACAACAACAACAAATAGAAGGATACCTTAAGAATAGTTTCTAGAAAAAATAGTATTCGTTACCTTGTGAAGAATCTCTATGAATATCAAGCCCATCAAATTTGTCCCTACTTCTTTTAAATGTTTTACCATGAAAAATACCTAAAAGTTGTTTTTAAGCATCTTCAAAGTAACAAGCAGCTAAAAAACACAAACTAAATATATTTAAAAAAAAAAGTGATCTCAAACTAAAGGATTTAATCTTAGGTGAGAGCCCTCATGGCATGTGATGTCATGAATATCAGTATATCATTACAGGTTAGAATTTTGATTTTTTTTTTTTTTAAGTTTCCTTCTTTTGTAATTTAAAGTTTAACTTTAATCATAAAAAGCAAAGAATATGAGAGTTTTTCAATGTGCAATGAAGAATTCAAAACCCACAGCACCTATTTATAGATGTTACAATGCTGCAATGTTATATTACCGAGTGTCAATACTGCCTCAGTTAAACAACAAGCCTCTGCCATTCAAGATTATTCTTTTTTTATTAAAATACATACAAAAAATTGATTGTATTAAAAGCGGAAAATTATTAGGTCCGGACACCGGACGTAGAGATAGATCCGGGCATCAATAAAATGTTGACACTGGCGTGGATACCTGGATATTCAATATATTTAATGTGTCCGCGGGACTTTAAGTCAAGCGCATCAAAAGCGCAACTAAAAGGCAACTAAAGCACTGTAAAAGCGCAACTAAAAAAACGCAGTTAAAGCGCAGGTAAAGCACAAGTAAAACGCACAATAATGTGCAATTAAAGTGCACTCCACATGTCAAATTTTTAGTGGATGTCCGGACCTATCTCTACGTCCGGTGTCCGGACCTAATAATTTCCCATTAAAAGCAGGCCAAACTTCAGCAAAGCGGTGTAGCACTCAAAAGGCTCACTATTGTGGTACTCAACACACCCAATAAGGATAGAGAATAAAATGTTGTTGTGCTTAAAAGGCTCAACAATGCAGCACTTACCAATTCCGATAATGACAGAGAAAAAAGTACTGAGGCGCTCAAAATGTCTAGCATTGCGGTGGTCTGAGCAAACCCAACATCATACAAATAGTTAAGCGCCACGGCGCCCAAATGATGGGCATTATGGCACTGCAAGCAAACTTTTTATGCAATTAGTTTTGATAAGGCTCATCTTCACACATACAAATACATACAAAAAATTCATACACTTAACAAACTCAACAATTCATAGGAATTACACATAACATACACACCACAATTCTGGGTTCCTCCCAATCAATGCTTAGTTTATCATCCTTAGCTACACTAGGCCTTCTTTTTCTTTTTTTTTTGAACTGGTCGTCCGGTACGATCTCTATGCCAATTCTTACTTTGGTTGAGTAAAATTAAGGATATCCTAAGGTGGTCTATGTTATCTCTTAAAAAGGCTTAAATCTTTGTCCATTAAATTTAAATGTTTGTACAGTGTTTCTATCCTTTATCTCTAAAACTCTATAAGGATACACTTTGATTACAGTGAACAGACCAAACCAACCAGACATTAACTTTTTAGGAAATAATTTCAAACTCGAATTATATAAAATTAGCTCTCGTCCTTGTGCAAATTCTTTCTTAATTAACTTAAGATCATGATATATTTTGATTTGTTCTTTATAAATCTACTATCTAGGCATTCTCATAAACCTCCATTGTGATCTTATCCATTCATTCAAGTGAAGTAACCTCTTTTCTACTGCATCCTTAAAATTACAAACAAAGGAAACTAAAAGAAATAACAAAATTTTAAAATTCCAACATGTATTTTGTAACTTGAAATTACTGAATCAGAATTCAAAAAATAATCCTCCAACTAAACTCTGCCAATCGTGTGAATGAGTGATGTGTTTGCATTTGCCAAAAGTATTTATTGCATCGGAGGGAATAATAGCAAACAGTACGCACATGCATATACAGAAACTTTTGCATCAATTTATTCCTCCACTTGTCAATGTCGGAACTTTCTGAAAATTTTGGCTGATTAGAACGAACTCAATCACCAATGCCGGAAAAAGGAGAAAATAAGCAATAAAATTATTCAAATATGATCAAATACAATCGATTATTCATCGAATATTCACATCAATATGAGAATCGAAAACAAGTATTTGGCGAAAACGGGAAATGTTTTGCTGCATTCAACCAAATACAGAGAAACATTTCCCATATGCAAACTAAATATGTTCGCAAATAGGCTTTAAATAATTATTTGTTAGTAGGTTGGATAAAACGCATTTAATTAAAATTTGATAAGTATACAATGAATCAAATATGAACAAAACACAAACCAAACATGATCCTCTATCATTTTAAATGAAAACAAATAGAAAAGCTCTAAACAAGCTTGAAAAAAGTTGATAATAAACTAGCTCAAATATGATCAAGCACCTGCTCAGCTTGGTTCATTTCCAGCCCTAGTAATAAATATGATAACAAAGAAAACCACCATCCAAACTCAAATAAAAATAACAGGTTCACGATGTTTGTCAATGGAAGTATAACAGCAAGCTAAAACTTTAAACATGAAGCCAAAAAAACTGCAAAAAATATTTGTCGATGGAAGTATAACACCAAGCTAAAACTTCAACTGAAAAAGAGACCTTTGATTAAGTATGCTAACCAAGAAAGTCAACTCATAGCAACACAAAGTGGCCATTTTTATACTGAACTATCATTTCAAGAGACATGACAAGCTTATGAAACCATCTATAATGACAAATCCTAATTAAAAGAAAATTATAAAGCACAAAAATAATATATATTTAGAATTAACTTAAATTTGTGTCTTCCAAAATAAATCAAAGAAAAATAATTTTTTTTAAATGTCGACTAATGTGGCCAGCCACATCAATACCAGCCGCTGGCAAAGCCAACGACTATACTTAGTTTTAAAATTTTTTTGTCAGTTTTTATTCTAATAATAAAAAGACATAAGGATTATGTTTTTAAAATGTGTCCTTCTTAGTATTCTTTTCAACAGTGGCGAAGCTAGAAATTTTATTCAAGGGGGGTCTAAATTAAAATAGTTTTGTTTGTTGTCTCATTACCGGAGCCAAGAGAAGCTGTAATATCAAAATTAAGAATGCAAATAGCATGGTCTATAAAGCTTAGAAGACATAAATATCTGCCACCGTCGGTCTCCATTTGTGGGCGAGAGAGGAGTGAAAGGGAAAACGAATGTCATGCTCGAGGTCGTAAGTTGCGAGTCGTGAGAGAAGAGCAAAGCGGAAAATGAAGCAGACCGTTTGGGTCGAGGGCTAAAATTTACTCGAGATTCTTTAAAATATTTTTCATTTCAGCTAATTTAAGTGAGTTTCAAATTCAATAATTTTAATTAAGAGAAAAATGTTAAAATAATCTCCAAACTATTTATATATGACCATTTTTATAATAGCTAAAGCTCTGAACTATCGAGATATTGTCCATTTTAGCCTAATAGCCTCATGGTTTTGTCTTATTAGTATAACTTCTCAATAAATCACTCATCCCAAGAGTGCTCCTATACTAGCACGCTTAACTGTAGACTTTCTAATTATTACACAAAAAAGGCAAATCAATATTTAAGAGTTTAGCTTTTTTACTTGAGAAGTTTCACATCTCCCCACTTAAGTAACTGACGTCATCATCAATATATTTATCTCAGAATCATTCATCAGGCATATAGGATTCTAGAGGTGGTCCCTCCAAATTCAGGTGACTACTCCTACCATATGACACTTTATCTCATATAGGGTTCAAGAAGTGGCCCCCATAGCATAGCACATTATCCTGTATGGCACTTAGTTCTCATATTCTAGCTGGTGAATTGCTCTGATATCATTTTATAAAAATTATATAAGTATTATCAGCTTTAGCTTAGCAGCTTCATGATTTTGTCTTATTGATATAATTTCTCAGTAGGTCGCTCATCCCAAGAGTGCTCATATACGAGCACATTTAACTTTAGAGTTTCTAATGAAACTCCAACCATTACACCAAAAGATGCTAAAATACGCCTCAATTTTTAAGAGTTTAGCAGTTTTTTTTTTTTACTAAGAGGTTTTACAATTTTAGTCCCACACTATTTAACGTGTTCAATTTAATCTCTCTACTCCTTAAATATGATCCAAAATAGTTTCTTAACTCCTCAAATATGATCCAAAATAACCCAACAGAGGGACTATTTCGAATCATATTAGAGGAGTCAAGGATTAATTTGAATACATTTATAGTCAAGGGACAATAATGATGTCATACAAATAATCCAAGAACCTTTTTGACAATTTTTTCTTTAAATTAACGATGGCATCTTTTTCATTACAGTCACACTTTGAGAAGCTAATGCTTGCATTAGCAACTGATAAGACAGATCCCAAGGGATTGGCAAGTACTCAATGTCTATTTATTTATATTATAATAACAGTATACAGCCATACATAGACATACTAAAGCAATATGCATCAACAGCTGTCATTGCTATTACACTTTCTATTATCTTCACAAATGCTAAAATACATTAGCTAGTGTACAACTACCATTAGTGAGCTAGCATTTATATTCTGACACGAACATTAAAGCATTTTGTTCAGTAGTGCATTTAACCAAATATAATGCAAGATTGTATAATGGTTAACCCAAATGTTTGGCCTAACACTATTTATGATGATGATCAATGCCATAATGAATACAGGTTAAGAAAAAACAGCATCTCCTTTCCAAATCAAACTTAAAAGGATTCAGCAATCTGCTTATATTTTTTTTATGTCTGAGAAATTCATTTAAACTAGCAAATTTAAGAATCTATATAGAAAAAGCACAGAGAAACAACAAAATGATAAATATTCAAAAGATTGCAGTTTTCATTAAATATTTGTGTTCTTCCTTCCTTTGGAAAGTTAAGATGGTACAACAATATTGTATGAAACCACAACATGAAAATTTCCCAGAAGATAATATATTCTACAATTAGTCTACCTAATGGTACAAAATAAACACAATCAACGATTTACCCTTATTTCCCACACGGTTGATGAAAATAGAATGTTGCATCAGATTTCCACCAAGAAAGCATTAGCACATAAATCACAAGTGCTTCTTCAGAAATCAAAATATAAATAAAAAGGTGCAATGGCTTAGGAATCATACTTGGCATTCATCCCCGAGCTGGTTTCTGTAACACTGCCGACAAGTAGACCAGAGTCTTCTTGGAATCGGCCTTCTCACCCACCACCCACTTCAGCTTCTTGTACTCAAACCTCTCGATGATCCTTGTCACCATCCTCTTCCTCTCATCATTAACACAAACATAATTATCTAGCCAGAACAAACCCCCGGCCCTCAAGATCCTGTCTATATCAAACATCAAGAACTCTAGCGCCTCCGCTTGCCCCTGCCCCATGCCGGACACGCCACCCTCGTCCAATCCATTCATTGTGTGTACCAGATCAAAAATCGAATCATAGAATGGAAATCTGTTGGCCGGAGATAATTGAAGAGGGAAGAGTCCCCTAGCAGCCACAAACTCACCAACAGGCCCTTCGGCGTCCAGAGTCGAGGTTATTATAGTGACGTTCCTCTCCGCCATCCTGGCTGCGAAATTCCCAGCTCTACCAGCGATGTCGAAGCCGATTCTGATGCCTCCGCCACCCAAAGCCAATACTTCGTCGATCAGGAAATCATTTTTTCCTCGGGACTTGACCCACATTTGCTTGTCTACGACTGCAGCGCCGGTAGATGAAGGGGTATTCCAGAGCGACTTGGGCAAGGGAAGGAGCTGGCGGGACTTGGTGCGGGATAGGCAGCGGCGGCGAGGAAGGGGCTCACAGCCGCGGGAGATAAGCTTCTGGGGAAGATGAGAATCAGCGGTAGGGCAAAGAACGTTGGGCTTGTAGGACATGAACTGGGAAAGGATATCGGACGATCGAGCGCAGGAGTGTGCAACCGAAGAGACCATTTCAGTAATCTTGGAGCGGGAATCAGGGCCGAGTGGGAGAGGATGGCGAGTGAGAAAAAGCTTTAGCTCGGGGGGTAAGGCGGGAAGGGAGGGATCAAGGGTATCGTATCCCGAGATTTCGCGCTCGATCTGGTGTAGACGGCGCTCGGAGGAATCGATCTCGCGTAGAATGGCAGCTACGTGCTCGGAGATCACGGAGAGATTCCTAACGCTGTGGAAAATAGCGTAGGCTGAGGGTTTTGGTGCATAGGTGAAGGCGTACAGGGCGAAGAGGTTGGTAGTGAGAACAGAGACGAGCATGACGAGGTGGAGAGCAGATGAGCACAAGGTGGCGCGCCGGAAGCGGGCGGTGCCGTCACCAATCTTAAGGGAAACTGATCCCATCACCGGCGGCCTCAACAGCAGTTACTAGAAGAGTGTCGCCGGTCACCAATCGCCGCCGGCGACTGTTTGGCTTCGTTATAGATTCAGATGAGGAGAGGATGAAAGAAAGGAGGAACGCGGAGAGCTGCGAGCCTGTGAGTGAGGAACTAAGCTTAGTAGCTGACTGTCGGTCTGTAGGCTGTTTTATTTTTTTTAATTATTTATATAATCAAATTGAATTTTTATAAAATTATAAATCTAATATCTAAATTTGTTATGTTTATTTGTATAACGAATAAATATAATTTAAAATGTTATAAATATAAGGATAAATAAGTATAAAATTAAAGAATGAGGTATGCACGTGACTTTATTAGTAGGTAATTTTCTAGGTAATAACTATATAATCTATTGAAACTTGAATTTTTTTTTTTTTTTTGACAATGGGGTATCCACTGTCACCCCCGAAAAGGCACTAGGCGGCGTGACTAATCCTCCGCTAACCTAGAAGAGGCACTCACCCCAGAAACCTCATTGTCCAATCAAGTGTGGACAGGTGGTTTCTAGGATGGATGCCTCTTCTAGATCAACCGATGATAAGCCGCAACGCCAAACACTTTTTCGGAGCTGTCAATGAGTGAATACCTCATATATATATATATCAATTAAGTTAAATAGAAACAATTTCAGATTGAAGGGTTAACCCGTTTGGAACCCCTTTTAAAAACTATTAAGAGGAGAAAAAAGTTCAGACTTAGAATTGATATTAATTAGTTAATGGACTAAAAGTAAATGAATAAAAAATGGATCATAATATTCTTATTAAAATTTATTTAGTCTAAATTTTAGAATTTTCAAATTTATTTTAAAATAAATGAAATATATAAATAATCGATTATTTTGAATACTAAATATCTTAAAATAAATAAATATATGTAAACAGTATAATCAAATTTAATTCAAAATGTCTTCATCCAACTCCTTAATTAATGTATGGATTCATTAGAATAATTAGATATTAATTATATTAACTAATAATTAGCTATGATGAAAGCCTGTCATAAGGAGAGAGAAACCAAATGTTAACCTAGTTTTAGCGCATTTTAAGGAGAAATTATTCTGTGAGGAGGCCAAACGTAGTTCGGAGACAACCAAAATGCGTCACATCAATAATAGCGAGCTGTGATTCCAAGCGAAAAGGTGACATACGCATTCTGATTGATCTCCAGACAGCGTTCCGCATCCGTACATAATAACTAATCTTTTAAGGCTTAAAAGCTGAAATTAATAAAATTACAATATCTATTTTTATTAGCTCTGAGGCTTTCAGAAGCACGAGAAAAATTTTCAAGTAACTTCTCAATAGCCTTTCAGAAGCAGTTTTTGGAATAATGCAGCAGATCTCAAAATCTTCTGAAATATTCATCAGTAGAATATCTAATGGAAATCTTCTAGAATTTTTCAGAATCCTCAAGAACATTCTAGATTGTCCTAAAAACAAGTCAAATTATCTCATAGATCACCAAGATGCTGAAAATTGAAAACCATTCATTCAAGCACCTTTTAAATTTTCACACTTCCCAACAAAAAAAACTCTCCTAAATTAGTTTTTACTCTATATCTTCTTAGACATAGGCTTTCTTACATCTTCTTAAAGCAACCGTTTAGTGCAAAATTTAAAATTTTGTATTAAAAATTACTTTAATAAGCAGTAAGAAAGTCGTCCCAAATGAAGTCATAATCATCATATTAACTTTATAATCTTCTATTTTAATTAATTGTGTCCAAGACATTAAGCTCAGTTTGGAACAATTTCTTACTGTTTTTTAAAGCAATTTTTTAGTACAAAATTTTTTAAATGCAACAAAAAAATAATATCAAGCTCAAAATTACCAACCCATCAATTCAAGTTCTACTGGCATTCAAAACCAACTTCGACCTGCAACAATGATGTATGATCACATGAAAGAGAAGCGATTAGCGAACAATCTCAAACAACATACTCAGAACATGTACACATACCGAAATTTAAGCCTCGTTTGCGACGACTTTCTTACTGCTTCTTAAAATAGTTTTTTAGTACAAATATTTTAATTTTTATACTAAAAAATTGCTTTAAGAAATAGTAAGAAAGTCATCATATACGAAACCATAGTTCAATGCATTGGAAAAACCATCTACAGCTCCCTAAGGATGGGCCAACCGATTTTAAGAATCTCATCAATCTTGGCATCAATCTGCTTTTGAATCTTGGGAGGACAGAGTTCAGCAGCATAGCTATTCAATTTGGCTGCCAATGTTGATTTCTGAAGCTCCTCTTCCTCTATGTTTCCAATCAGTTGCAGGAGAAATTTGTTGCGCTTTAACTCGAATTTCTGCAACAATGCAGCATTGACAATAAGCACAAAGGCTGGAAGCACATTATTGCGTTCAGCCAAAAGCAGTTCAGGCTATTAAGAAAATTAAACGTTAAGGGCTGTTTAGTATCCTATTTTAAGTAAGATTAAGCTTAAACACTGCTAAATAGAATTTTGGGAACTTTAAATCCCATTGATTTGATGAATCCCATTTCAGCTCCCCAATTGGATGAACGTAGGGTTTGTCAAATCTCACCATTCAGAGGAGTTAACAGATTTAAGAATTTCTCCTCGAAGGAATCTTAAATCTTGGAGCAAAGAGAAATCACTTTATTAAAATTTAGCAAGATTTAGATTTTGGTTGGGGCAGCTTTCTTGCTGCTTCTTAAAGCAATTTTTTAAGTTAAAAAATTAAAAAATTTTAGCTAGAAAATTACTTTAAGAATCAGTAAAAAGTTGTCCCAAACGAAACTTTAATACTAGTCATGTCAAATAATGCAGACCTTAATCCCCCCAAGCTGTACTAAATCTGGATTTACAGGTTTTACTATACTAGCAGCCATAAAGCCACTTGGCATATAATAGTTAGCGGCAGTTTGGTTGCAAGATTTAGATAAGATTTAGGTTAAGGCTTAGTTTGGGATGACTTTTTTACTGCTTCTTAAAGCAGCTTCCGAGAACAAAAATTTTAACTTTTGTACTAGAAAGTTGTTTTAAGAAGCAGTAAGAAAGCCGTCCCAAATGAAGCCTAAATGTTGCCAAATAACTTGTTGAGCCAAATGAATCCTACTGCCTTCTTAATCTTATTTTCCAATCATTTTAAGTTTAATGCAAGATTTAGTAAATCTTGGGGATAGTAGGATTTAAGAGATTTAGGGTTTGTTTGATATCATATTTTAGGTAGAATTTAAAGCTTAAATCCTGCCTAAGAGAATTTCAAAATTTTAAAGCTTACCCATTTTAATGAATCCTGTTTCAACCCTTTTAGAATATATTTACATATTTTTTCCCCCTTCTTACAAATCTGACTCTTATTAGGATATAATGAAGAAAAAAAATTCATGTAGCCAACCCATCGGAGTGGGATAAAGACTTGAAGATGTTGTTGTTATAAATCTTAAACCATAAAACAAAATAACAAATAGTTTATCAAGATTTAGTAAGATTTAAAAATTATACTGCCAAACAACTCCTTCCGTTATGTATCCTTGTTATGCCTCATATTCTTCTTCATTTAAATCCTAAACTCTGAAAAAATCTGCTAAATAATTTAGTAAGATTTAATCAAATCAAATAAGTATTAGGATATAAGGTTTCCAGGGTTTATTAACAATGAATTTACAAAGATTTACTAAATCCTACTTGTAGTCAAAGTGCCCTTTAAAGATGGGAAAATGGAGTACCTGATGATCAGATTCAGCAGGATAGAAAACTCCTAGTTGCTGGATTTGGGTTGTCACAATGCTGCTTCTGCTCTTAGTTTGTTCCGTCTCTTTACTGGAAGCAGCTAACCGGGCCTCTACACTTCCATTTGTAAATATAATGGATCTGGAATAGCAGCAACACAGCAAGATCTGATTATAAGGAATAAGCTATTTTTTCAGCACGTTTTATCAAATCAATTTTCTTAACCTAAAATCAATTCATTTCAGAACAGTTTAATCTACTTCCCATGATACCAAATTGTATGTTGAATTAGCCAAATTAATTTCTTCCCTTAAAAAAAAAAAAATATTCTGGTGAAGACATGACTGTCAATAATATTAATAACCCAAAACAAATGGATAAATATTTCTGTTTTGTAGGTGCACACATGACCTAATTTCATGATTTTACTAAGTCAAATTCTAGGTCATATAAGATATATTCCAATTGCACTTCATAAGCTCATACATTTCTCACATAGTAACTCATTATGCAGATTCCTTCGAGTAGCCTAACTCAACAGTACGTCCAGCAAAGGATCCAATAGTGCTTCAGGCACATTTTGAATTGTTGCAAATCTGGATTCATTAATTATAATTTTGATGATAGCAAGCAGTTCTCACACTTTTGTTTTTCTACGACTGTCTTGCCTACTAACGTTTCAAGTCCACAAGGCCTATTGCAAATCAAGCCAGCTCAAGATTGAGTAGATTAGGACTGAGTCTATCTGTAAACTGTCGTTAAGTTGTTTTTTATCTTTTCTTGAGTCAATTGTAAACAAAGTGAGTCCTGATGCTAAGTAACCATGCACGCACGCACTCAGGAAAAATTCTGTAAGTTTTAGAATTTTTTGTTTTTGATCACATCCTCCGGGACTAATCCCAAATCATCCTGGACCATCAGTTAAAAATAAAATCCTAACTAGGGCATCCTGGTTAAGGCAACCGCAATTAATCAAATCATCCTGAACAATATTATCATCGTCCTGGACATCAACAACAACATCAAGCCTTCATCCCACTACGTGGGGTCGGCTACATGAATCATTTTTCTCCATTGTGTCATATTAAAAGTCAAATTCTCGTTTAAATCTAATAAAGAAGGTCATTCCTAATATTTTTTAACCAAGTCTTTTTAGGTCTACCCCTACCTTTCTTAACATAAGGCAAATCTAATACCTCTACTCTCCTAACCGGGTCATCGGAAGGCCGCCGTTTTATGTGACCAAACCATCTAAGGCGACTCTCTCTAATCTTATCTTCTACTAGAGCTACTCCAACCTTTCCACGTATGTGCTCATCATCCTGGACGATAGACTCAAATCATAAAGAATCAGCCGCCATATCTATTTAGGCATATTTTATTTTTTGACATCATCTAGGACCTCGTCATGGACGATGCAGTGCAATTATGCCTAAATTAGTCTGGTAATTAAGGAAATCAATTAAGGTTTGATTTCTCGATCATATCGTCCTAGACGATCGCAGGATCGTTTGGGACGATCATTTAAACAAACCTTAGTTTCTTCCTGGACGACCAGAACATCGTTCTGGATGATATGCATTGTTTTGCACTAATCGTCCGGGACGATCCAAAATCGTCCGGGACGATCCAAAATCGTCCGGGACGATCAATTATTTTTCCATCATCCAGACTTGCAATTAGGACGATGTTTTGAACGATATTTGATGTTTTGAACTAATCGTCCGGGACGATCGTGAAATCGTCCGGGACGATCAGTTTAGTTTTCCATCGTCCAGACATGCAATCAGGGCGATGTTCTGGACGATACTCAACGATTGTACTGATCGTTAGATCGTCCTGGACGATAATGTCAGTTTGTTGCAATTAAGAGCAAATTTGTAGCTCTTTTATATAAGACATCTTGTTTATCCAAGTCTGCATTTTTTGCTGCTGTCTTGACCTGAGAGAGCCAAGAGAAGAGGGAGAGCAAGGGAGAGAGAGATATAGAGAGAGGATCTTGTGAGGGGAAGTTTGTGAGGGGTTTCACAAAGGTTGCTCCAAGCAATGATCCGAGTCGTCTTCTTCGGTCGTCATCTCTGATTCCTTGGAGGTTCGAGAGAGGTCTACTTTAGCAATTGATCGAGGTTCTCTGCCTGCTTTAGGAGGAAGCGAAAGGAGTCGGGTTTTATGTCTGCTTCAGGAGGAAGCAAAAGGAGTTGGGTTCTCTGCCTCACCGATGTCAGTGGAAAGGATGTTTGTACAGGCTTCTCCGCCTTGCTGTGGGAGCAAAAGGAGAGTCACTGAGTTTAGTGCAATACCCAGAGGAGAGGCTCCGGAGAGTGGACATAGGTAAAGTTGACTGAACTACTATAAAATCCTGTGTGTTCTTTCTTACTACTTTTCCGCAATTAATTTCCGCACTTCAATTTTCTTGTGGTGATTGTTGGTTTTGGTTTAAGATTGTGATTCTTGTTTGAGAAATTTTTAAAACACCAATCCCCCCCTGGTTAGCCTCGGGCTAGTTCACAAGGGCTTAACATCCCTGATAAACTTTCATGAACAACATCAACTGGTTGCCTGTGAGTTTCCTCAATCCTAAAATAACCGAGGAACTCCAGTCTTAGCAGCAGGAAAATAATGAAAAGGGTATATATAGTGCATGGAGGTTCTGCCAATTCACGATCAGGTGGGAGTTGATATAAGCAAACTTAAACCTATATTTGCATGGAGATTGTTTTGTGTTATGAGAAAGGTTTTAAACTGGGATAAAACTGACTGGTGAAGCTTTAGTTTTGAAGGTTTCTAAAGCATCCTGATTTTGTGTCCAAATTTTGTAGTAATTTTGAATTAATCACGCAAAACTTAAATTAAATAGATTTAATCATAGAACATTTTGACATAGATTATCTGAAACTAGCCAAAATAGGAATTTCAGTCATCTTTCAATTCAGACCAATCAAGGAAGAAACCAATCCCTCCCGAAATTTAAACTATCAGTGTGATTATTAGGAGCAACACTTAAATTCTAGATCGAGAGGGATTATTTTTCTATGGTTATGAAGATTAATTTAACTGACGATGTATTGTTTTCGGATGCAAAAATTTTATACAGGAATCTATGAATTAATTCATTTTCTAGTCTAAGAATAACATTCTTTTAGCACATTATTTATGCAAAAAGGAAACATGCAGAAATGCCTTAATATGCAGATGAAACATGTATAATCATAGGGTTTGTGCCATGAGAAATTGTTCAATTGATTAGTTTTCTGAGCATGAAAAGATGAATGAAACTTGGTAACCTTTCCATTTTGGGCTTTTATTTAAACAATTATATGTGATAACTCAATTTTCATGAAAATTATGCACTGGTTTACTTCAGATTCTTTGCTTTTAATTGCTTAGTATTTGGTTCACATAAGGCATGATATAGAAGCATTCCAAGACTCCCAACAAGCGCAGGACTTCAAACCAATTCATCTTCACATTGAACATCAACTTCATAGTGACTCACTTATATGTTATGTTTTCGTTCATTATGATTCATGATTTACTTTGTATCATTATTTACATGACCGGTGTCACTTTTTATGTCATGAATTATGTCCCAGTCCGGATGATGGGTATCATTGTCTTATGTGCTCTTTTATGATTTTATTAATAAAAAAATGCCTCCTTTAAATCTTAGATCCCCTCAATATACCGAACAATCTCCTCTCTCTTCTCTCTCCTCTTGGTTTCTATCTACAGACACCAATGTCTATCTAGGGAGGTTCTCATGTTTTAGATCTCAATCTCACTCTCCATGTTTCTCTACAATGACAAGGCAAGGTTCATTGGATTGTGTTAGGAAACAAGTGCAGAAAATACCACAATAATGGCTGAAATAAGGGATTTCAGCAAGAAAAATGCAGGAATTGAGGAAAATCCTTTGGAAAATCAGTAGGAAACTTAATAATAGAAGAAAAATGGAAGAAAACAAACAAGATACAATGGATCTTCAATTCGAGAGGAAGATATGGCTCTCTCAATCTCTAGCCGACGGCTAGAGCCCAAGCAAAACCTAGAGGCTCCTAAATTCAGCAAAATAACAACATAACTTTAACCCTAACTCTTCTCCCCTATATAGAGAATACAAATTAAATGCATAATTACTAAACAGTCCTTTTTAATTAATTTCCCTCCTAATTCCTCCCCCTCCGATTTCAAAATTGCATTTAATTCATGGGCCCCAAAAAGGAGGCCGGCGGTTTCCTGGTCCTCCTGGTATAAACCAGGTGCCAGCCCTAGTTTAGGGCCGGCTTGACCGGTCTAACAGATTGTTTGTGTAGAGTATTGTAAGAAAATGTAGTAATCACCGCACTCAAACCTTTAGAGGCTTAGAGCTTGCTTTGAAAATGGAGGGATAGATCAAGAGATACAGAGAGGGACTATCGTTAAATAGAGAAATAGGGGTCAAAGAGAGAGAGCGTGCGCACGAGGGGAGAGAGAGAGAGTGAAAACGATATGATTGCATTGAGCTTGCTTTCAGTTAGTAAACCATAAAAGAAAATTCTTTGTTTTTGCTCCCGGCAACAATCTGTTAAATGTGGCCAAGCAACTCGTTTTGAAGTTTCAAATGCACACCACAACTTTGAAATCAGTATACAATGATCTTCAAGAAGCCTAATTGTCTGTGCAATTTTTAAGCTTCAGATTACAAAGGAACTTGAGAGATTTAAAATGAAATTTATTATTAAGTTTCTTCATTGCATGTAGTTGTAAGTCATATAGTACTGAATCATCTACTGCCACAGTATGATATTTAAAATTTGAAGATGCCATCATGCACCCATTCTACCATGACCCCAGGATTCTAAATTCTAATACTTGCGCATAAGAAAAAAGCTGAAATTCTTGGCTCAACAACTATCAGAAGTACTAGAGAATAATATATAGAATCAATCATATTTGATCCTGACCTTCTAAAAAGAATGATAGGTGACATGCAAACATTAGCTTGAATACCTGTACTGATTACCAACATCAGGGCCTTGTCCAAAAACCTGTCTAGGATCATGACTAGCCCAGAAAACATCCAAGAGCTGCTTGAATGAAATTACAGTCGGATCATATTCAATCTGTAGGCAACGAACCAAATTATAGACTGAATCACATAAGAGAAAACAGAAACTAATATTGGCATTGTATATAGAACAAAAAAATGATTTCAATTTTCAATAATCCGAAGATAATATGGAACGCATTAATTCCACATATTTCCCCCAATTCATGGAGAAATAGTAACTCTGGTGGATCTTTAAGCAAAATGGGCAAGTTGATCCGGATTAACACTTGATGAATTCCACTGGAATTAGCTTCTTTAGGCTGAAACCATTAGGGTTTAGCTTCCTCAGGCTCCATAGACCCACATGGAACTACATTTCCATGCCAAACATCAACACAATAATACCTCAATTTATTATTTAAGTATCAAAGAATGCCACATCACCAACAGGCTCTAGTAAAAGGAGCATCATCACGTTATCAAAGAGTACCACCCCACAAGTCACCCAAATGGAACCTTAAAGGGCCTAACCCTTCATTACCCGAAGTTGACCGCCCCTCATTCTCTCTCACATTCCTATCAAAACTGAGGTTAGGGAGGCTTGTTATCTGCTTGTTTTTGTTGATTAAGTAGATGACTAATTACTTGTATTTGACTGGAAAGTCAAGTATTCGCTTCTTGTTTGTTATTAGGTTCTTACTTCCTATTATTAAATATGAGAAATCATTTAAGCTTAATTTAATTAAATTCAAAATCGGGATGGATGAGAAGCTTCTTTTATAGCATCTCTCAAAAGCATCCTGACAACCACGAATACCTAAATTTGTTTGGATAACTAAGCTCTCCAACATTAACTACAACCCATGATTCCTAAGAAGCTCAAAAACGAACTATTTCAAGTGTCAGAGTCTTGATCAAGATATGCAGATGTCGATATTCAATTATGTTGTTGTGGTATAAATTGAACTTATTCAGGTTTCCTTATTGTAAGGCACTTGCATTTTTCACGGCTAATAAAAGTATTCCATCTTCTGATTGTATTCATCACTATTAAGAGGGGTCAACTCAGAGGAGTAAAGTTTTTTTCATCAATCTCCCAATGGCCTTGATGGGCAACATGAATAGTTGCCCAAAGGAAATTAGTCCAAATGACTTAGCAATCTTTTGGCCTACTTTAACAGCTTTGTTGGGCAATTTGCCCAATAGAAAAGCTTCGTTACATCTTCTTTCTATTATTCTCCTTTCCCTTGAGATTGATGTTGAGGAAGAACTTCCCAACAAGGGCAAGAAAATCTACTTAGAAAAATAAATTTGGGCAAATTCTTGGTTAAACCAGACGAGCACAATGGGACAATATTTTGCCAACAAGAAGAAACTCTACTCGTGTAAGGATTTTGACCATTAAAGGTGTAACTGCAAATTAGGTGGAGCTTCTGGCGGCAGATGGCAGGTAGGAATGGTTAGTTACCGATAAGAACAACGATAAGTTAAGCCTGCGATAACAACCAAAACGTCAGGGGAAACCCGATGGTCAGAGCCCGGGCATATTCAATCAGCTGCCATGAAATTCATAAAGAACCACAGCTGGTGACAGGTACATTGTTTCGGAATCTGAAACACATATTCACATTGATAGATTCAGATTCAAAACACTTCTTCATTTCAGACAATAAACCAAAATATCGAAATCATTTCACAATATCAGAAACTAAGTTGCCAACCGTGTTGCCGATGAGAGAACACACGTTAGGGGCCATAGACGTTCATGTTAAATTGCTTCATGAAGTCAAAACGTTCATGTCATTATTTTATTTGATTACCATGACTGATTTTGTCATATCTTAAGTTGGAGCACTCATTTCTCACGCAATTCTAGCGATTGAGTGGATACACCAAACGTGTGGAGATTATCAGATCCAATTCCACCGAATATGTGGCATGCTCCTCGTGTCTTTGTATTCTTCAGTAGGGAGAAATTATAAGAGAAGAAAAAGAATCGAGACAAAGATGGTGAATACAAATACTATCAATAGCAGAAGAACCTGACCTGGACGCATTCGGCGTGGTTTCCTAGGTTCCGATACTCGGGGTTAGGCTTAGTGCCGCCGGCGTAGCCAACCAACGTCCGTACGACGCCGGGCAGGCATCCGAAGGCCGCCTCCGATCTCCAGAAGCTTCCAAGTGCGAAGACGGCCGCCCTTAGTGGGCGGTTAGTATTCTGGCGGGAGGCTTCTGGGATCGCCTGAGGAAATCGGATCCCTAGGGTTGGCGTAGCAATTTGGGATACCAGAACGAGGAGAAGAAGTGAGAACACAAATCTCCATGAGATCTCCTCCATTCCTGCAGACGGCAGGGGAGGAAGACCTGCTAATTAAGCCGATGAAGAGAAGTAATCTACAGGAAAACTCTACAAAGCTTGCATCGAATGTGCGCTGAAATAAATTTGGAGTTTAATTTGAAGTTATTTTATAAGCTGCTACATTTTTTTTTTTTTTGGGAAAACCCGGGGCGTGAAGCTCATATATTAAGAAACTAAAAGGGAATTACATTTGATCTGTAAAAGAAAAGCTAACTACCAAAAGAAGCAAAATTTACACCCAGCCAGTGGCAAAAACAAAATATGATAATTGGCAAAAGATAGACTCAGAAGGAGCATAGTCTCATTCATCAAAATAATCTGAATATAGTGACTGAAGACCAGGCGGTTGCACCAGTTGCCAAAGACAAAAACCTGCAAAAGAAGAATTGGCCATCGCAGCACAACCTGCCTGGCTACGATGGAACCCAAAAACGAACCAGGTTGCCGCACGGGCCCTCCATGGCTCGGAGAGACAGGCATCATCATTGTCCATTTGCCAATTATCCACCCAAATTGCCAGCTGAAATCGGTGCAGTATACCCGGGAGACTATGTTTAAAAATCCACTTTCCAACTGGGGAAGAAGTACAGCAGCCAAAACACTCGAGCCCAGTAAGTAGCAACCCGGGTCAGAAGTATAACAGAAAAACAAAAACTTCACCCGCATGAAGCACCTGGAGGTACAGCCAGAATCCAACATCCAAATAACAGAGAACATCCAGAACGTGAAGGCAAGAAAGAACTGCCTCCAGTCAAAAAATTCTATCAAAAAACTTATTAGTTGCCCAAAATTTCCTGAATAAGAGTAGTTTTGTGTTTCCATTTAACCATTTTCAGTCTAATAGCCTCCAAAATAATGCCAATAACTTTAGCTACATTGTTACTTGAATTAGAGAAGCGGCGGTTATTCCTCTCCCTCCATATATGATAAGTGATGCAGCTAATAACTAAAAAGAAGAAATCCTTTTCAGATCTATTAGTAATCTCAGAGTTCTCAATGAAGTCAAGAGCTTGTATCAAAGTGGGTCTAAATAAGAAGCTAGCAAACTGAGGCATAATAATCTTTAGGATATAAAAAGAGTAATCGCAGTCAAAAAATAAGTGAGAATGGTTTTCATTGTGCCCCGAGCATAGAGAACAGTTTATAGGCACCATGATCCCTCTTTGACGTAGATTATCAGCAGTTTTAAGTTTGCAAATACAAGCCATCCAAATAAAGCAAGCATATTTCAAGGCATAATGCTTATGCCAAATGGATCTATACCAATCAACCTTTGTTAAATGAGAATAGTAAAATTCAGAGAACTCTCTAAAATTCCATTTAGCATTTCCATTCCATAAAACTTCTTTGTTCTCTTTAATAGCCACTGAATTGATAGTATTTTGAATAGTATGATGCATATTAAGAGGGAAATGCCAATTTCCATTCCAGAATAAATCTTTAACAAGAACATCATCCATACCCGGCAGGAGGTAAGAATCCCCAAGAGAATTTCCATTAAGCCACGGGTCCCAGAGGAAAGAAATATTGCTTTGATTGGAAACAGGGAAATGCAACAACCTTTTAATTTTTATGAAGGTCTCAGTGAGGCGGTGCTAGGTTTTAGAGGCCGAGATAGAAGGTTGTTTCATAGGAGAGATGTGCTTAGCTTTATACCAGCAGCTAAGAAGATTTGGGTTGTTGTAAAACCTGCCAAGTATAGAACAGAAAACTCCAAAGTAAAGAGCATCAATGGAAGGAATGCCAAGGCCCCCAGCAATTTTAGGAATGATAACTTTAGACCAAGGAATGAGATGCAACTTCCTCTCCACCAAATTGTTATGAAATAAAAACTTAGAACAAAGTTTGTTGATAATGTCACAACAACTTTTGGGGATGATAGACCCTCTGATCCAATAAGCAATGGAATTAGTGATGGTGAATTTGAGAAATTGAACCCTTCCTGCAAAAGAAAGAAATTTGTTTTTCCAACCAGCAAGTAGAGCAAAAATTTTGCTCAGTAGTGGTTGGAAGTGAGTGGCTTTAAGTCTTTTCGGAGATATGGGAATTCCAAGATAAGTGATGTGAAGGTTGATGTTATGTATGCCAAGTTCCTCACAAATGTTTTGGTTGCAAGTATCATTATGAGAAAAAATGATTGCACTCTTGCTAGGATTTATGTGCAGACCTGAAAAAGAGGCAAACTTTTGAAGGCAAGTATTAAGGTGAGTGGCATTATCTAAACTAGACTCCCCCATCACCAAAAGGTCATCAGCATACATCAAATGATTGATGTAAAAGTTTTTGTAGCATATACCCTTGAAGTTGCAAGAAGAAGCTTGATCAGTAATGATATTTGAAAGACCATCCATGGCGATACAGAAGAGAAGAGGAGACAGTGGGCAACCTTGCCTGAGACCAGTGCTAGATTTGAAAAACCCCTCTAGTGATCCATTTAAACATATGGAAAAATATACGTCAGTTATGCAACCTTTTATCCAATTAACAAAATTTTCAGGGAAACCTTTCTGTAAGAGTCTAGCAATGATGAAATTCCTGGAAATGGTGTTGAAAGCCTTTTTGACATCGAGTTTAGCACAAAACATCCTGTTGTTGCCTTTGAAATCTCTAAGTAATTCAGCAGCTAAGATAATGTTGTCGGTGGAGCATCTATTTGCTATAAAACCAGATTGACTTTCATGGATAATGTGGGGAAGGACCTCTTTGAGTCTGTTGGCTAAGACCTTAGCGACAATTTTATAAAGAACATTGCAGAGAGAAATTGATCTATAGTCGCTAATATTAGAAGCATGAGAGCTCTTAGGAATTAAGGTAATAGCAGTTGCCTTAACTCCTTTTGGAAGAATGCCAGTAGAAAAAAAGTTACCAACAGCATTGTAAACTTGCAAACCAATGATATTCCAAGATTTTCTGTAGAATGCATAGGAGAAACCATCAGGTCCAGGAGCAGTATTTTCATTGCCATCAAAAACTGCCTTTCTTACTTCATCAAAAGTTAAAGGAGAAACCAGGTTGTTGCTCAAATGAGATGGAAGAGGTTTGCCTTGAGGGATATCAAGTGGGAGTTGAAGGGATTGATGAGAGGAGTTAAACAAACCCTCAAAGTGCTTAATGACAGCAGAAGAAATGTCTTTGAAGCTAGTGAAGTGACCATCAGAAGTGTGGATCTCCTTAATGGTATTTTTATTGTTTCTGCTTCTATTTGGGCAAATAAAAAACCAAGGTCATCTTCCCTTTTAGTTAGCCATGACACTTTAGCTCTTTGAGTTAACCAAGAAGTCCATTGATTTTGCAAAGAAGCAAGCTCCTCATTAATGTCTTTCAAATTCTGATTTAAACCTAAGTCAAGAGGATTGGATTGAAGCTGAACCAAACACTGATGTTGTTTGCTTTTAAATTCCAAAAGAGCATTGGAAAGATGAGTAGAAGAAGCCCAATTCCTATTTTTTAGAGACCTTTTGAGAATTTGAAGGCTATGAGTAAAAGAAGCCATAGGGCTTCTAGCCGATCTAGAAGAGAAAGCAGCAAAAACATCATCCCAAAATCCCTCCTTCTTTATCCAATAATTTTTGAACAAAAATCTGGCAGATAGCGCCTTGTCATGGGAAGAGTTGAAGATGAGGGGGGAGTGATCAGATCCAAGATGAGATTCCACACAATAATAAGCATTAGGGAAGACATCCAATAAAGCATTGTTCACCAGAACACGGTCTAACTTGATATGAATAGGATTTTCCACTCTTTGAATGAACCATGTGTAGAAAAGACCTGTAGAAGAAAGGTCTTGTAGCCCACTGTTAAAAATGAAGCTGTTTAATTCACCCATTCTGCTAGAAGTAGAAACAGTACCACCAGCCTTTTCAGTTTCATAACGATAGCAATTAAAATCTCCCATTATGACCCAAGGTTGGTCAGTGGGGGGAGAACCAGCAATGATCTGATCCCAGAGGCTCCTTCGTTCCTCAACAGTATTAGCAGCATAAATAACAGTAAGAAAAATAGGAGGGACAGATCCTACAGAGAGAATACCATGAATGTGTTGGTAGGATGAGGATATAGGCGTGAATGAGAGAATCGATTCATCCCATTTAATCCAAATCCTACCTAAAACCGCATCCCCAAAATTATTACAGCTTCCTTCATTATCAAAAAGACGATGAGATCGAAGATACCACTGATCATTTAAGGAAGCAAAAGAGACTTTTGCTTCCAAAATACATAACATCTTTAGATTCAGAGAACTAATGAGAGACTTGCAAAAACATTCCAACTAGCAAACTTGGGTAAGGACATTACGATTTTTGTCCTTTGGCCTTCTTGGCCGATTTTCCTTTAGGAGGCTTTGGCTTTGAGGGAGATTTTCCTCTATCAACAGAGGATCTAGTATTATGACTAGTAGATTCAGAGAGCTTCTGATTTTTGGAAGAGGGGGAGAGTTCATCAACAGCAATAGAGGTGGAAGAATTGTCATTTTCGAAAAAAACCTCAGAGGGTTCCGGGAGAGTGTGTTCTTCATTTTGTAAGGAAGCAAACTTGTTTAAGAGAGGGATTTTTGGAGGTTGGTTTAAAACTGGAGAAGAAGGAGGATCGGAAGAAGAGGTTTCTTCAGTAGGGGAATTGAGGTTGGGAAGAAGGGCTGCTTTGGCAGGAGACGTGGTCATAATAGCTTGGGGAGGGACTAAGACCGATTGTATATGGTTGGAGGCAGAGTTTTGTATTATCAGAGGTTGATCAGCCAACGGCTGAACCACAGAAATCGGAGTTGGTAACAGAGCAGGAGAAGGATAGGTGTTCTGGATGGGGATGGTGAATTTTGAAGGAAGAACATGAGCGTTAGGCTGGGAAGTGGCTGGTCGGTTGTGCGGCTGCCTTGAAGTACTCCGACCACGGCTTTTAGGAGGCTGGGGAGGAAGAACAGGCTTAGGATTTGGATTCTTGGGACAAAGAGAAAAAGGGTGAATCAAAGACCCGCAACCTTCACATTTTTCAGGCTTCCAGTCGTATAAAACTGTTAAAGTAATATCTTCTCCTTCAATTTCAATCGAAATTTCATCCGGTAATGGTGAATCTTTAGAGATTAGAACACAAATTCGGGCAAACGTTAATCTAGAACGGTTTGCAGTGAGCGCATCAACAGAAATAGGAATACCAATATAACTGGAGATTTTAGAAATACCAGTTGGCGTCCAGAGAGCCAGGGGGAAGTCAACTATTTTTATCCATACCGGGATCGGAGCATCCTCGTCGCGTTTAGGCTTGAATTTTGGTGAACATCGCTGTAGAATGAACGGCTTGCCAAGAAGGAACCAAGGTCCTCCAGATAAAACCGAATCGAGATCTTCTTCAGTCGAGAATTTGAGTAAGAAGAAGCCATCCGCAAGCGATAGAAGTTTCATGGATCCTTTAAGTTTCCAGAGGTTAAGCATAGCTTTCAGTAACCGCTCGTAATAAGGCCGAGGACCCAGAGAATAGCCGATAAGCGTCGAAGTCCAGATGGACTTGCCTTCAGATAGATCGTCGCCTTTGAAAGAGAGCTTTTGACTGGGAGAGAAGAATGATACTGGAAAAGGAGCTGGTTTAGCAGCAGAAGCCGAAACATTCGCGGCGTAAGAAAGTCCTCCAGTGAGAGGGCCAGGCGTGGATGTAGTGGAGAGTGGAGGGAGAAGTGGAGAAGAAGCCATCGGGAGGGAGAAGCCCTCCCAGGCAAAAGAGGCGGGGGGGAGAACGCAGGCGGCGCAAACCCTAAAAATCGCAAACCCTAGCAGAGCCAATGTCTGTTACTGTTCGAAACACCGCTACTGCTACATATTTTTAAACTTCATTTATTTTAGAAATATAGATATATTCTTTAATTTCAAGTATTTTAAATATATGTTTATTTTAAACATTAAATTTATGTTTATTTTAAATATGGTGTAAATAAAATATATTGTATTTTAATATGTTAAGATTGTTTGATTTGTAAATGAAATCCATATTAATTTTTTTGTTAAAAATTAAAATAAATTATTTTATGATCATGATGGATGTTTGACACTGATGCATGTATGTGATGATTATAGTAAGATGTAGAGTCACGGATAGGTTCATGTGGGTGATAATAAAATAGAGGTTGTGTGAAGACGTAGAAATTATTATATGCAGTCACTGGATGTCGTCCAGAGTAATGGATATCTGGTTCACATAGTGGCAGAGCCAGAAAATTTATTGAGGGGGGGGGGGGGGGGAGGGTTTTGGGGGGGGGCTAAATTATTTTATTAAAATCTTCCCTCAACTTTTTTCATCTGGACTTGGGACCGGCACAGGCAGTTTTAAAAATTTTGGCTTAAAAGCAAACTACTAAACATAGTATACAAGTTACAACTTATATCTTTTGTTCTTCATATTTTGAAATAACTGAATAATAGCATCATTGCAATACAATCTAAAATTTCTTTTTCAATATAAGCGATTAAAGTATCGTTCATCCATTGATCTCCAATTCGATTGTGTAGCCGATTTTTTATAATTGTCATTGCAGAAAATGCTCTTTCAACTCCTGCTGTTACGACAGGTAGTACCAATGCCAACTTCAATAGCCTAAAAATAAGGGATATAATATTTTCTTTCTGCTTTGAACCATTTTTTCAGCAAGACTTCCTATATCCTTTAATAATAAAAATTATACATCAAGCCGCATATCCATAATGTAAGTTTTTAACTGATTATCAAGAATCATCAAATCAGAAGGAGTGAAATCACTTGGATATAAGTTTGTCATTTTAATCAACTTTTCTTTGTTGAATGCACAGAACAAATTTGATGGATTTAAACAAGCAATGCACAAAAGTAATTCAGTATTAGCTTCTGTGAAACGATTATTCAATTCTTGTAGTTGCATATTAAGTACTATGTATAATATATCAACTCGGTAATGATGTAAAATTATTATTTCTTGAAGTCCACGTCGTGATCGTCCGCGGGCAACCCATTTATCATTTAGATTTGGAGTGATAATTTTATGTTCAACACAAAATAATGACACTTTTTTAAAGAAGTCATCCCACTTGTTATCTCTCATATATTGTAACCTGATTTTTTATATTTGAGCTAAAGGCATAGCATCTACAATGTCCTGATCTTTCCTTTGTAAAGCATATGAGAGTTCAGTAGTGATTCCAAGTATGTCTTTCATTAAGTGCAGACAAAAAGAGAAGTCAAAAGATTGCATTGAATCTAATAATGCAAAAGCTTCCCCTCTCTGGTCAGAACTTATGACATCCTCCAAAACTATTTCAAGCACATCAACAACTGAAGATAACATTGTAATTAATCTGATTAGTGACTCATAATGAGAACCCCATCTTGTTTCACCAGCACGCCGTAAAGATAATTCTTGATTTAATCCTTGTTCAGTGAACACCTCACCATTTTGAAATGCACTTAATGTCAAATCGCGTTGTTTATCTCTTATTTGATTCCGACGTTTGCATGAAACACCCACAATATTCATCACATTTGAAATTATAGTAAATAATAGTGCAATCTGAACATGATTTTTTGCAACTGCAATTAACGCTAACTGAAGCTGGTGTGAAAAGCAATGAATCTAATATGTAGAGTTATTATCATTCAGAAAACGTGCTTTTAGGCCATTAAATTCTACACTCATGTTACTTGCACCATCATAACCTTGACCACGAATTTTAGAATGCGACAAAGTATAATTTGAAAGGACTTGTTCAACTCCTTTTTTGAGACATCGAGCTGACGTTTCAGGAACATGTACAATACCCAAAAAACATTCAATAATTTGACATTTCTCAATCACATATTGTATAACGACAGTCATTTGCTTTTTCCCTGACAAATCACGAGCTTCATCAACGATAATAGAGAAGAAACTGTCACCAACTTCTGTCTTTATGTAGTATGTAATTGCAAAGATATGGCTCTACAAATATCTTTCTGAATATCAGGTGCAGTTAATTTTAAATTCTCTGGAGCATTCTTTAATACAACATTACTTATATCTTCATTATGTTATGCTAAAAATTGCAATAGCTCCAGAAAATTTTCTTGGTTTTTGGAATCAAAACTCTCATTATGCCCGTGAAATGCTAAACCTTGTCGTAGAAGGAATTTTACGCAATCAACAGAAGAATTCAAGCGTACACGGCTTTTGTAGCTCGATCAGATTGTACCTAGAAGGCAAAGTTAATATGTTAATCTTGTTTCATTAAATCCTCACAATTTTGCCGTGCATTATTATGAACGCTATTAGGTCCTCCAATATGAAGATCAAACCTATCAGATTTTTTCCAATTTGAGAACCATTTCTAGCAAATGCATCCTCTTCCTTCTACTCCAAAAAGATAACAATACAAACAATATGATTTATCCTTCAGAATATTATACTATAACCAACTAGAGTATCTATCATACAATCTCGGATTGAAACATCATTCTTTCATCCCAAATTTACTTTTAGGGAAGTCATGATTGCGAGGCTGACATGGCCCTCTTTGCAAATATGATATTCAAATTTGATCACGCATGTTAAAGTTGAAATTGGAAATAGGCATACGTAATCCAGGATCCGATTGAAGATTCTCTATATCTGTTACTGTGTTTTTTGATAATTCGCCTTCAGCTCGAATTCTTTTTTTATTTTGTTCATCATCCTTATTTTTTATACTCTCTATTGGTGTTGATACAGAGGATATTGAGGACTTTTTAAAATATTTCTCCATAATCTTTGTACAAATCTAGATTTGTAAACTACATAAAACATAAAAAATATAATCTAATTATAAAAATAAAAAAAGAAGAACAAAGCAAATCTAAAACAAATTCAAATTTTTTTATTTAGGATTCCATGTTTTTTAAATTACCTATGACCACCAAACAAGTAAACAAATTCATATACTTTATTTTTTAAAATCTTAAACAGTACACTAAAACACTGACATCGATTTTCAGAAAATGAAATTATAATTTTAGGTGTATATTAAAAAAAAAAACTTATAACCAAAACAAAAGGATAGAAAATAAAATAACAAAAAAAAAAGATAAGTTCCTACTTGCAGCCGGCCCGATCCAAGATGGAATAATGGAAGGGATAGCTCAGAGCAGCTGCCGTTGTGAGAGAAATGGGAAAGCGCGGACGCACCGGCGGACGGTGGACAGCTGATTCCGTGCACAGGGAAGTCCTGCGGGCTGCGGACTATGGTATGCGAAAGGTTTTCCTTCTTTTCCCAAACAGCGGACGACTGGTTTCATGACAATTTTTTTTATTATTATTATTATTTTGAACCGTTTAGGCAGCCTAATAGGCAATGACATAATGTGTATTAATTGTCCAAATTTGCACCGGCAGTCCCCCCAATCGCCAACCAGTAAAAAAAAAAAATTCAAAGGGGGGCCCTCCTCACTCCGCCGTTGGGTTCACTGCTTTGGGAGTTTGGGTACTAGCACTATGGCGTTCAACATGAATGGTTTCAATTTTAACCAATCTGTAGTTGATAGTCAAGGTCGTGTTATTAACACTTAGACTGATATCATAAATCGTGCTAATCTTGGTATGGAAGTCATGCATGAACGTAATGCACAACTTCCCTCTAGATCTAGCTTATGTGGAAGCTCCATCTATAAATGGATAATACTTTTATATCTAATCAGGACGTGTTACTTCACTTTTTTGCTGTATATTGTTGTTGTGTACAGTTGTGCGCCAGGTGAGGTGGCGCATCCTAATTGGCCTCCGGACAATCTACTCACCGCACATAATAATTTCTCAAGAAGATGACACGAATGTGTAGAGTCGAATGCAATGATTTTAGTTAACTGTTTGAAGGGTCAAATTGAACTCTTCATTAATTTTTTTTTAGTTTTTATTATAAGGGCTTTTAGGCAATTGCCGAAGAAGGTGAAGGAGTCTCTTCCGTTCATGGGCACCCCCCCCCCCCCCCCACGGACCCCCCCCCCCATACAATTATCTTATTTTTTTTTTTTTTCTATAAAGCACAATGATTTTATTAGAGCAAATCTATTAAAATATTATCTATGCCATATATGATTTTAAATCATATTTCTGTATATAAAATGATTTACCAATACAAAGCTAACTTGATACTTCACTTAATTATTTCTACTAAATAATATTTCATCTGTTTTCTTATATTTTATGAATTACTATATTTCATGCATAACATTGATAAAAAAATATAACATTTGTCTAATGGAAGAATGTTTGTTAACATAAAAGATGAAAATTGATACCAATTGGTTGATAGTCAGGCCCAACTAAGACTAATACACATATGAGTGATAATTGGGGTAGATTGATATCAATTAGTTAATAGTTGGGCCTAATTAAGACTGATATCCAACTAGGTGATAATTGGGATTGACCAATACCAATTAATTGATAGTTGGGCTTGATTAAGATTGATAGTCAATTGGATAATAATTGGGGTGGAAAAAGTTGTTGCATTCATGATTGCATTTATATGATAATATATTTAAATTGATTGATAGTATAATTGAAATCATATTGGCATCCATATTAATATAACATAGCATATCATACTGACATGATGCATTGGATGATACTTTGTTTTACTATATTTATTATAATTTGATGGATTTCTTTTGACTTTATTGGTCATATTAATATTATTATTGATTTTTTAAAAATTTTATTGCTCATTTTAAGTTATGATTAATATTGACTAGAATTGAAACATATATATTGATTATTTTGCCTTGCATTGAAAGTAGTGATAAATTTTTAGTTTTATGCTGGGCTTTTTAACTCATTAAATAGATTTTAATGATTTCAGATCAGGGAATGGGTTAGAATCATAAGTAATAATACTGATAAAGATCTTCAAGTTCTTATTTAAATTTTATTATGCATTTTTTATTTTTTTAATAATTAGGAGCTTGTAATAAATTAGTGATCTTCTGACTAGTGTAAATGATATTGTGATGAATTAATAGTAAAATATTTTGATGTATATGATTTTAGTTGTTTTCATTGGTTATTATTTATATTGATGATTTATATAAGCTCTGGTATATTCTTAAAATAATAAGTAGATAAAATTTTTAAATTTGATCTTTGGGCATCACAATAGCGTTACAATGATTTTAGAGCAACAATTGAGGGATTATAAGGAATAATTACTATATCAGCGCACGGATAAAAAGTGACAACTATATTTATTAAGACAATAGTTTTTATTGATATTGATATGATATTAAAAAACATTATGATGGTCATGACTTCTTACTTGTTTAATGTGACTATTGAAATACATGTTATGAATTCATTATTAATATATATATATGACTTTATTAATACTATATTGATTTAGCATCACTATACAAATTGTTGTTATAACATTGATTTACTATTACTTCCATTGGATTTACCAACATCAATACATACATCGATAGTGTTATCGAAACTACTCCTAATTCATTATTATTATTATTGATTCATTTTCCTTATAATTAATAATGAGCATATAATATACTGAGCAAAATGATATATTGACATGCAATTAAGATACTTATATGATGCTGATATAGACTAACTGGATAATATTTATACATAGTTATGAGATTTTATTATATTAATTTGAGTTTGATAGTTTTTTATTGGTGCTTTATTTTTTACCACTTTATATGATTACTTTATAGATTGATAGTATTGATACGACAACTACTTTCTTGATTTGACACATGTACTGGTTTATCAATTACTCAACTGCATAGATTTATTGGCTTTTATATCACACTATTTTATTGGTTACAAGTTCTATAATTACTACACAAGAGTTTTACTATTTATGTATTAATTATTGATCATATAACTATTACTATTATGAATTGCCCGATGACGTGCATACTGCTTCTCTATCGTGCTTTGAATTTAGTTATAGGATTTTAGTATGACATGCTAAACTTTTAGCTTATTATATGTGATTTAAATGATTCCGGGTCAGGGCAAGGGAGCAAGAATGAGAGATTAATCAAGATCCCTTATGTTCCTTTTCTTTTGTTTTAATTATTTTTTGTACTCAGGATTTGAAAAGACATGATATGATTATATGATTGTTGAATATTGTATATAATTTTTGGAGTATTATATACAAATATATGTATATATTTTGAATTTTATAATTTATTTTTATCGTTAATTATTGATAAATGAAAGTAGATATCTCTTGTTGTTGTCTGATAAAAGGAAAAAAAAATTAAATTAGATTATAGGGCATGACATTATAACACTTAATGACATCAATAAAAGCTCTTACCACCACCTTAAATAAGTCGATGTTCGTCTCCATTGCCAAACCGGCTTTAAACTTTTGTCTTCTAATATATTGTACTTTATTTCTTGCTTCACCACACCATTTTTTTTCTCATTATATTTGAATGAGTAATATTGGTCGTAATGATTTTTCTTGTCTCTATCTTGAACCTTAACATAACTCAATCCTTACCATCAACGTAAGCTCCTAACTTTTTTACATTAGTATGAATGAAAGCTCATGGGAGACAACTCCAAATTTAATCAACCTTCAAAGCTATTGCCTATCATCATGCCCCATCCAATACTAAACTCATGTAAGAGAAACCTTTAGGTATAGTGAATTTATGCCTGAACCAAAAATACACCTACTTCAAGGTCAAGCAATATTATATTGCTAGCCTCATGGAACTTGCATGGTCTATATTTATATATCACCATAGTCCTTTCCTCCCAAGCATTAAAGGCAAAGAATCATGATTAAGGGCACTCTTATATCTTTATAGCACTACAACCCATCTTATATTTCAACCAACTCTCCTTATTTTTTCTATAAATTCTTGCTCCTAGTAAGTTTTAATTGTTGTATAGGAGACTTACAATAGGACCATCAAACCTGATGATCATGTATCAATACTTGTGCAAATGTAATCTTGTAGATTTTGTTTAACATTCCACAAGTTCCAGACATTCAACAATACTTATAAAGACGTTGCTTGAAGGTAGTTCAATAATACGCCTCTCTATAACATTAACATTTTTAAAGAGTTCTCTTATCCTTTTTTTCTCACAATTTGTGGCGATAAAAAGGCTTATCAAAGATCCTCAATTCTTACTTTGCATCATAGAAGAGGGAAGGGGAGAGCATGTGGGTCTACCTTCAATATTTTAATAAGGATACCCATGATATTACTTGTAATGGTAATAACACGACGGCAATCACCTTTATTATGGGGTTGCACCTAAGCACCTTCAAGTTCTCCCTGGTTAATAATCCTTTGGTGACCATGGTCAACCTACTTCATTGGGCCACCAAATTTATCCTCACCATAGAATATATGACCAAATCAATTAATTTAGGTTTGACATGAAGTATGATCCCAATAGGAATTAGATGTCGCAAGATGAGCACCCTAGTTTTTGTTATCCAAAGAAAAGGTTAGAAGGACCTTCCTCTATCGCCATGGAATGCTTGCAACAAAGGATCACATGAATGAAGGAAAATTTTATTGAGTATGTTGCATGATATAGTCTATTGTTGCACAATGAATGACTATTTATTATCAAGAAGATGGATTTTTTAAGTTGAGGTGTCTTGGGGAAGAAGGATTGCACCTAATATCAATCCAAATTTTATAAATATCACAACCACGAACATGACGCAAAATATTATAGGGGCCTTCATCCTCTGGTCAACAATCTCATAAAAGAAAGACATCTCAAGAAGTTTCAAGTGAAATATTATGCTTCTTTTGAGGATACTCAGAGGGGAGGTGTGATGGTACAAAAATGTTAATATTATATATACTTTTCTACATATGTTTGATTAGTTCAAGGTGATTTTGCATTGACCATGCTTTATCTTAATCATTTGAAGTTGAATTAGTCAATATTGTTGCTTGGACCTCTAGCCAATTCCTAAAGATGTTTCAATCATTACTCTTTAGCAAATATCAAATTTAACTTCATAGCTCACTTCATATGTTCAACCCTAATTTAGCATTGCTAGAAATCCTGCATATGGTCTTAGCTTATTAATACAATGATTTGACCTTAGAATGATTATTGAATCCCTATTAGACTTTATAAATACCATAAGAAGATGCATGTTATCATTCAATTCTAAATCAATTTTAATTTTTTTTGATAGGTTTGACCTTAGCTAGCTCGAAGGTAGACTTTTTGTAAGCTTAATCATAATCGGTCCAAGCAGACTCGATTAGTGGTATTAGCATTAACAGTCTTTTTCATTAGTTCAATAATATGCATATGCATTATAATTGATTATGAGATTTCTCAAGCTTGATATGTTGGCCTAAGTTTGATCAATGGTCAAACCACCCTTAATATCCTCTTAATCCTAAACCTATTCGGTGATTTTGAATCAAATAATCTATTAATCTGGTCAAGCCTCTTCAATGTGATTTAGATCACCAAATCATAAGTGAATTGATCATATTTGATAATTGAACTAAGGTGGAGTCCGTTAATCCCTAATTTGATCCAATGTGTTCGAATTAGATCAATTAGACACACAATACATAATTGGATAAACCGCCCCTAACCAACTATTTAAATAGGCCCCAATAGATTGTTAGTAATCTATTAGATTCAAATAGGTTGAATAATTAAGAATTTATTAGTATTGTAATTAATATCATCAAAACTTAAATATTTTAATGATTTATTATTTAAAACTGATATGATTCAAATATTAATTATATTATAGGTTGAATAAATATAATATATAAAACTTCTTAATAATTAGGGTAATAAGTTAATTAATTAATAATTATGATATCAACATAAAATAATTAAAGCTTAAATAAGATTTAAGAATGATAAACTTTACTTATACAATTGCTTATGTATTGAATAGGTTTACTTTTTAAAATTATATTAACTAATTATTTATTTTTATTTATTGCAAATAAACACATCATTTAAATATATTTATTATTTAGAGATAATTTAAATACAAATAAATAAAATAATTCAAAATAAATTACTGAGCTTATCCACACGACAAAGTGAAGCAGAAACGCAAGCGTGAGAGAGCGTGAGAGACAATGGAGCGGGAAGACTCACAGTAATGATTTTCTCGCTCATCATCTCCTTCGACGCCCTCTGGAAACCCTAGGGCCATCTCCTGCCTCCCCACAGCTCCCATGGCGTCGCCCTTGTTGCCAATCTCGAAATCGATTGCTGCCATTCCTACTAGCCCCAATGGAATCCCGGAGAAATCCCTTTGTTGCAAATTTCAAAATCTCCGGAGCACCATATGCTTTAAAAGTGTCTTCTTAAGCACGCTTCTTCTGGTAATCTTGATCTTGGATTATAAATTTGAAGTTTCAACGTGTTAAATTGTAGTTCTTGTGATACTAGGGAGAGTTTTGTATTCTTGTTGCCAGAGACGGAAGCAGTTTCGTGGAAGTAGAGTAGCGGGATTCAAGAGTCAGTTACAGTTTTGCCAATTTTCCCAGGTATACTTATCGAATCCCATCTGGTATATGTACTCTTTAATTTTTGAAAAATTAGAATATATTGGAAATCTAATCAATGCATTTCTAGAAAATTTCCTTGGAGATAAATGTAGGCCTATATTTCAGCTTTACCCACCTAATTGGCAGCACCGATCTAGTTGGAGGCAGCAGCTGCTTGCCTTTGACATCCAATGGAGTTGGCGTCCACATGGCAATGCAGTTGCAAAGAATGTTGCCAGGAGGTTACAACACCTGTCATACAGGATTTAGCAGGATTTATCATAAATGTTACCAAACAATTTTCAGGATTTCATAAATTCGGATTTAGAGGATTTACAAAATCCTATTTAAATGAAATTCCAAGTGCTACCAAACAGCCCCTTAGTTCGAGGGTCGGAAAGTTTATTGGGTGGTTATGATGGTTTCCTAGGTGCCAGGCTTCTGACAGCATGATAATGACTTGTTGGAAACTATTTCAAATATGGAGAGAAGAATTACAACATGATATTGGTCCGATATTGATCAACATTATTTTTGTCAATCCTTTGAGACAATGAACATTGAAGAACAAGTGATGAGGCTCACAGATGGGTCCTTTGTATGGCCTTGTTAACGTGAAAATGACAAAACTATTTCTCTATTGATCACTTCGGGTGATGATGGTCAATATACAGTTCCATGTCAATATAATATTCAAATTATCATTTGCCTACAATATTATATTCAATGGGGTTCACCGACGAATACTTTCTAGGTAGTGATGTTGATTCTTCATTTGATAATGAATTTCTTTGTTGATGCAGTGACCTCAACCACTCTTATATATGGTACTTAAAGGCTGTCAATTATTGAGCCCCAATATGCTTGAACTTAGTGTCAGGATTAGAAGTTGACATAGGAGTTATGGAAGTTCTCTGAATGAGCATGATCTACCGAGGATAATTATTATTAAAGTTTGGGTATAAATGGAGCCAAGCTCATTTGCTTTTACACTTGAACGGCTGATTTGTATTCAAGTTGATAGGAATTGTTATTAATATTGTCTGTCATGGCTTGAACATTGATTAATGGAATAGGTTGGTGAAGCAAAATAAATTATTGGCAACTGCTTAACTTTTGGGACATATTCGAGTGGATGTCTAGAAATTGGTTCTATGAGGTATTATTTAGGAGGTTTAGTACTCTAAGCGGATCTCAACTATCATTATGGTGAAGAAGAATATTGTGAAATGGAGGGTGTGCATTGATTTTACTAACCTAAACTAAACCTACCTAAACGAATGGTACCCTGGTTTACTTAAATAGATAATTTGGTCAATTTAATATTGAATACTAGGCCATAAATTTCTTGGATTCCTCCTTTATTTATGGTCAAATTTGGATGCACTCAATTGATGAAGGAAAGACAATGATGGAGTTTATTACTACAAATTCATGCCTTTCTTTCTCAAGAATGCAAGAGCTACTCACTAATGGATGATGAACCCGATCTTTCATGAACATGAGTGGAAATTGAAGGTTTGTATTTTTGATATCCTGGTTAAAAGCTAGGTGAAGGAGGGACATCTTCAGGAGCTTTAGAGACCTTTAACACTCAAAGAAGGTATAATTTATGTCACAACCCTACCTGGTTGACTTCTTCATCATGGGGAGTAAGGAGAACGCCCTGAACGAATAACCATTATGGTTGTCTATAAATTCATGTAGATGAAAATTACATGTATCTATGGCATTCCTTTGATAATCATAACTAATAAATAACTACAATTTTATGATAAAATATTGATGTTTGCTTGAAGGATGCCTAAGTACATTATTTGAAAACTAACAATCATGTGGAGGCTATCAATAAAGTCATCCTCAACCTCTTGAAATAAAAGACAGATAGGTTCAAAGGAAGATGGGTGTGTTGGGGATGATGATGAGTAAACACCACAATGAAGAAACAAGCAAGAAAGTAAAAAACAAAGGAAAAAGTAAAGGACACCAGGATTTGACATGGAAAAATTCAAAATAGGAAAAAAACCACAGAGCCAAACCACACCAACAAATCTAGTATGAAAATTGGGAGAAATAAGTACATATTTCTCTTCTCTCTCACTCTCTCATTGCTTCTATTCTTATATGCACCATTCTCAATGTCTACACTATCAAAATAAAAGAGAAAGACAAGTAAAATAATCACAAGGAATGCAACCCTTCAGAAAAACGAAAAAGAATATCATCTAGTCCTTCTTGCAGTGTTATGACGCTAGTTTGGAGCGTTGCTGCGCTAGAATCTCTATCTTGATCCGCTGCAGTGCTGCATCTATATTGCTGCGGCGCTCTGCTCTCTGTCATTCAGCACCGGGGCACTCAGGTATGCAGCGCTGGGGCGTTGTATGGAAAATTTTTTTTTGGTGCAAAGCACTTGAATCCCAGCAAGGGGTAAACACCCCTACTCCCCAGTGAACACGACAAGCTTTGAGGTTGTTGACCCGTAACTGTATACAAAAAAAAAAAAAAATAAATAAAAATAAAAATAAATTACGTACCTGTCCGGCTCCGAATTCAGCACGAGGTCTTTTATCTTCCCACGATCTCCGCATAAGGCTCACACGACGACATCACATCTCTCACGATCTCTCTGGCAGTCATAAAAAGAGCCGAAGGGATTCGATTCACTCTGCTCTCATGTTCCCGCTCTGCTCTCTTTCTCCCTCCCTCCAGTGACGATTTTCCCTTCCAGTCAATCGAAAGTTACGACGTTCGGATCGGAAACGACAACCGGAGCTCGCGGCTGTGGAAGCAATCTCCTCCCTTTCTTCCGTTCGCACGCTTCTCCAGGCACCTTCGTCGCTGTTCGACTTGGCTCCTTGGACGACGCCGTCCCCTACCTGCTGGATCGGAAGCAACCGCAGAAGCTCGTCGGCTTTGGAACTTTCTCCCTCCCGCCAACTTCTCCGGCTCCATCGTGGCTGGTTCGACTTTGCTCCTTGAACGACTTTCCATTCCCGTTGGATTGGAAGTTAGAACATTTGATCGGGAGCAACAACTAGAGCTCGTCGTCTGAGAAGGAAACTTCCTCCCTTTCGATTGTTTCTTCGGCACCCCGTGGCTATTCGGCGTCGCTCCCCCGACGCTTTCCCTTCCTGTGAGATCGAAAGCAAGACAGGAGCCGCCGACTGTAAGGGTAATTTACTCCCTTCCGTCGCTTTTCCGATCCTCGTGGTTGTCCGACTTGGCTCCGGCAACGACTTTCCCTCTTGTTGGATCGGAAGTTACGATATTTTGAGAGGAAGCACGACGAGAGCTTACTGTGAAGTTAATCCTCTCCCTCTCGAGCGGCCTTTCGTTGCTGTTTGATTTTGCTCTGGACGACTTTCCCCTCCTGCGGATCGGAAGTTACAACATTTTAATCGGAGGCAACGACGGGAGCTCGTGCTGTGAAGGTAACTGTCTCCCTCCCGTGCGCTATTTTGCTCTGGACGACTTTCCCCTCCTGCGGATCGGAAGTTACAACATTTTAATCGGAGGCAACGACGGGAGCTCGTGCTGTGAAGGTAACTGTCTCCCTCCCGTGCGCTACTCCGGCCAAATCCCGTAATTACGCCGGACCGAGGGGTTAAAAAAATAATATATATATATATATAT